TTTGAGTTTATTTTCTACGTTTTAAAATGTCTATTAAATTTGAAAATAATAAATAAATAATGATAAAATTAAATAAAAATAAAAACATCTCCCATATTATTTTATGCCAATTAAACAATTTGGGTAAGAACTGCGTGAGAAATGTGCGTTGGCTCATGACTATGAGGTCCCCATGGGAATGAGTGAAAATTCCACTTTTGTCGGTTTTTCAGGTATAGGGATTTTCTGTGTACATTTTTTTTACTCGTCGCCACTTTTGTCGGCTGATTTCTTTCGCGTATGCACATGCAGGTGATCTGTGGGTGCCAGGGTTTGAGGATGGGTTTATGGCTCCTTTGAGTCCTTTGTGAGGTGCGGCGGTTCTTTTTCTTTCTGAGCAGGCTGCTGCAAAAATGGTTTTCTTCTCCTACAGCGGCGCCGGCCACGCACACTTGAATTTGTCTGAAAATGTCTTTTTGGGCTTGCAACATATTTTTCAACCGCGTTGAAATCTGTTGAATTGATTGTGTTGCCGATCGCCAGCATTGATTTTGCCGCTCTCTGCCTATTAATTTTTTTCATAATCAAAATGTGCTTATTGCTGAGGTTGGGCCTAAATTTATGCTGTTTTGTGTTTTGCCCAACAATTGACTTTCTGATTTCCATTCAATTTTTTTATCAGATAATTTCAATTAAAATTTGTGTAGCAATCTGACAAAATCAACAATTTCAAATTCACCTGTATTTATATTAACATTAACTAATAAAATACGTGAAATGAAATTCTTTTCAGACAATTAAATTTGGTTTAAAAACTCGGCCGCTTTTAAAATTAGCTTTTTTGTTAAGTTCATAAATCACTTTCTCAACAGCTTGAAAATAAAACGACCAAAACTGTCCCGAGATTTATATTCACCAACAGGACCAACACATTGGCACACAGATTCGGCGTGAAGCTTTTAGCGCACCCCTTATACTTTTGCACTTGCCCCTGAAGACGCTCGGCGGCTGCATGATACACGAGATGCGTTTATATGTTGTATGCAAGAAGCTGATACAGAGCGGGGGTGTTAAGTGCCCGAGATGCTTTTCTGTTGCCGCGACGTGCGCCAAAAGGGCTTGAAACACATCTGGGGCAATTAGCCGTCAAATGTGTTTGTCTTAAATGCATCTAGGGCCCTTTCCAACGACCAACTGGATGGTTAATTATTTTGAGGGATATTTATTTTTATACATTATTAAGTTTGGTGTGTTTAACGCCTTAAAATACGTTGGATCTTTTGCAAAAGGCAAAAAGAAATTGAAAAGATAAAAATTTAATAAATTAATTATTCTTAAAGAAAACTATTTAATTTGTTACAAAATTGAAAATTTCGGATTTTTTTGTCAGTCGTTCCATTTTGAAGGAAAGGAAAAGTAAAAATAAATTATAGATAAGGAGAGTTTCCGCTTGAAGTTCTTAGAAAACTTGATATTTTGCGTTGCTTTTGAATTGTAAATATTAAGTGCTGTGGGAGTTTTGGGAAATCCAAATTAGTCACGCATCTGAGCAAAATCCTTTCCGGCGCCAGACCTGCTGAATAATGAAGTCTGGAGTGCTTTTTGTAATCCCATCTTTTTTTTGCTTTTTTTGTGTGTGCCGCGGCCTTGGCTAATCGCAGCACCAAATTCCTCATTTTCTACATCACAACAAAAGCAACAGGTAGGACTTCAGGGGGGTTAAGAAATTGGATTTGGCACCACCTCATGCAGAGCAAAAGCAGGAGTATTTCGCTTTTCAGGAGAATTCCGCTTTTGCTGCAGATGGTCAAAAGAAGGAGAAGCCTCCCCTTCTGGACTTATCATAATGCGCGTCTATATTTTGGCTTGCGGCAATGCTGGGAAACGGCTCTGTTTTGGTCGCGCTTTCTTGTTTTGTCTGCGGCACTGAAATTCCAAAGTTGAGCTGCGTATTTACACAAAAGAGCCAAAAGTCAACAGTCAGGTTCAAGTTCACAATTTTAATTAAAAACTAATTAGATGAAAATGCTTATTTTTGTCCAAAGTTTCACTCTCTTAGCATCACAATCTCATCAGCTTAATGCATTCCAAATTTATGTATATCTCCAGTTGAAATGGCCAAAAAAATATGTAAACATCCTGGCGAATCTTCAAAACATTTTGCATTTGACCGCCAAGCTGTAAAGTGTATCTAATTTATTAACGACTTTGGCACTCTCGACGCTGCGTGAGAGAGTCTCTCACCTCTTTTTTCCTTTTGCACCAATAAGGGGTGCCAGATGATTTTTTGTGCTCTTTGAACGGCTCTTAATTTTTTTCAAGTTGCGGAGAAATTGAGTTTGTTGGACGCGCTCCAAAAGAAATATGCGCGAGCGAGAGAAGAGATCAGCAGCTTTTGGCTCGGAAAGCGAGGAGCGGCGCGATCATTAATTAATTTGTTGTTTTAAAAGCAGCGGATGGAGTGAGAGCACAAATGGGCATCGACATCTTCTGTCGAGCATATTAATGTGTTGCTCTCGCCTCTTATTAGAGCGGACTATAATTAATTGCCACCAGAATGTAACGCAAAACTGCGTATATTATAGGATTGACTTAAAAATTTAATTCATCGTGACATAAACCAAGAAGCGCCTGATTTGTACAAAAGCGTATTGAAAAAAGGACAGATGCACAAATTAAATTTTAATTGGTGCAAAAAAATCAAAGTTTGAAAGGGAAAGAATATTTGAGATCCTCCGTCACAAGGAAAATAAAAATATAGAGACAGATAAAAAATAAGAAAATCACAAATCTGCAAGAAAAATTTATAGTTTAAAATAAAGTTTATTTTGTTTAAGCAACGAAAGTTCTATTACTGAAGTTTTAAAAGAAAATATTCAAATTGCCGCTGTACTTCCAAGGATTTAATAATGAAAACTTGGACTTTGGCAAAGTTGCTGTTCGATTTTGGTGCAAGCTGAAAATTGCACGCGAACCTTTGGCCGAGAGGATTGGAGCGGCAGCGCAGGCGAGATGCTCGTTAATTGGGAGAAGGGCCTCCTCCCACTATAGCACGGCGCGCCAATGACAAACTTCCGCCCAACGGCCGCACAATAAAAAAAGGTGCTCACGATATTTTTATGCCTTTTTTATATCATGATTACCACACGGCGAGCTTTCTGGCTCCACCTTTCCAGCCGGCAGCTCGCACCGAATGTGCCCCGGCGTGGAATTAATTCGTAAATTAGACTTCGGCGGCGTATACAATATTTTTCTCCGTTTCTCCTTTTTTTGCACTAAATTGAGAGAGATGCACTCGAGCATTTTGCCGGGTGGTCCGCGCCAGATGGAAGTGAAAAAATGATTCACACACCAGGGTGGGGATGCGGTCGCGAGACGGAAAAAGTTGGTTTTTGCTTTAATTATATTGTAAAATGTGAGTTGTGGTGCTGGAATAAAAAGTCTTTTAATAGTTATGCTTATAAAGTTGAGTGATTTCTTTTAAAATCGCAGGCTTTCAGAAAGAAGTATAGAGGCCCAACACAATGAGATCAAGATATTACAATAGAAAAGTTAAATCGCATGGTTAGCTCAAATTTAACAAATATCAACAAATTAAAAAGCCTCTATTCACAAGATCCAAATACTTGCAACAATATTTAACTTATTTTTATTATTTTTCTCATGTTGTATTAATCTATTGTAACTTGAACGGCTCCATAATTCTACCACTGAATCAAATGTTGATTAACTAATTTTTTTCACATATCAATGTGAATATTAATAATGATATTTGAATACATAAATTCAATTAAATACATAAATTAAAAAGAAATCATCACGTTAAAATGCACAAAATTTTCATTATATATATTAAATAATTTAATAATATAAATTTAATTTTTTAAACAAAAATAAAATTAACATATATTGCTTAAAATAATTATAAAATAATGTTATAGATTTGAATTTAAAATTGGTTTTTTTTAATGCGTTTTTGTGAGTTGTTTATTGTTTCAGAAAAACAATATCCTGCTCTACATGTTTCGGCTGTGGGCTGCAGCCATAATTCATGAGCTTTCTCGGCGGTGTCGATTATGGCTGCAGCCCGCAGCCGAAACATGTAGAGCAGGATATTGTTTTTCTGAAACAAAAAACAACTCACAAAACCCATCGAGGAAAAGCCGATATTAAATTCAAATCACCATGAATCAACCCTCGATCGTAAAATTCTACCATAAAATAATTTTGTTTAATATATTTTAAATATAATACAATTGGAGCATATAAATGTTTATCTGTCATTACAAGTGAGAAAAAAAACCATATTTAATCGGCCTGTGCCCTTTATTAGTGGTGCAGAAGGCACCACCCAATTTAAATTTTGAAACTGCTCATTTTGTGAATTGATTCTGCGCAGAAGCATCAGAGTTTATTTTGCTTAGTGCATTTCAAAACTTGATTTTTGAACAATTGCAATAATTAACATTGAACACGTCCTAGACTCTCGGTTATGTCTCATGAAAATTGAGTTTTTTATTTCATTTAAAACTTCAATATTATACCATTTGCTTGACTCGGGCATGCTTTTAAATTCACATGCAGAAAAATTGCCCTTTGCAATTTATAAAAAGTAGTGGAGAAAATGAAAATCATTGAGAAAAATAACAATCAACAGCCCAATAAAAATTCTTGAATGAAGGTGGAAATTCATTTTTCTTTTCCAACAAAAGAGCTCAAATATTTAACCCCTTGGGATTTTTTTATTTTCAACCCCCGCGTGACACAGTGGCCGACTGACCGCGCTTTTGCTCCACAGGTGCGAAACAACCCCCGCGTGCGTTGCTGGGGCAGAGGGAGGCGCCGTCGAGGGATGATTTACCTGAAGCGACTGAAGGCGCATCCCCCCACCACCCATGATTTGTTGTGGGTCGCCGGTGCTTTCTTTCTTCTCGCTGGCCGCCCCTTCTCCCTCCTACGCGGAGGCCGCGGCTGAAAAAGGTGCCTTTCCTCGCGGCCCCTCAGTCCGCCATCAATCAAGAGCGACGCAGAAGCTCGCGCGCGCGACCGAGAGCAGAGCAAAGTAGCGCCCCGCAAGCAAACCGACGGACCGAACGGCCAGATCGCCGCAGCCGCCGCCGCCGCTCCGCAGGCAGTTGACCCACGTGTGCCGTGTGGTGTGCCGCCTAATAGACAGACCTCTCAGTCCATGTGCTTCGATAGTGCCGCCGCCGCCGAGTGCACATCATCGTTTTCCAATTAACTCGCGCGGATTGTTTGTTTGTTTGTTTTTTTGTGACTGATCCATATCGAAATCCGCCATGTGGTTGAGGACACCAGTGCTGCTCACCCTGCTGGCCCTAGTGACCGTGGCCGAGCTGGCTAAGAAGGGTGGCAGGGACAGAAGAGGACACGGCAGCAAGTGGTGGTGAGTAATAATCCCTATGCTAATTAACTTTGAACTTTTTTGGGGAAGGGACAAAATTGTTAAATTGAATCGCATTTTCGGAAACACAGATTCCAGACCGAAATTTGGCGATGTCGTGAGATGTTGTAATATATGGCATTTGAGGAAATACTCGTTGACCACAGTCAAATTAATATGAATTTTATATATTCACGCAGGTTGTTTTTCCCCTATCAGAACTCCATGGAAGCATTTTAGCTTAGCATTTCCTCTGTGAAATTATTTGCATATATTATAAAACACAAAAATTAAAATATAACTTTAAATTATATCTTACTTTTCTTTAATTTAGTCATGGCAAGAATTTTTTTAATTTAAATGTTTATTTACATTTTTTTTTAATTATTCACAGTGGTTTTAGACAAAGACAATTCACAAAGCAATATAGTAGTATAAATTTAATAATTTAATATTTCATTTTTAACACCACCCAAGTGCAAGTGCAACCTTAATTCAATAAAAATATTATTAATAATTGAAGGACTCACATTGTTAATATTAGATCTTGATAATAATAACAATAGAAAATTTATAACTCATGCGCACTTATCTAGAAACTTGAATAAAAATACATTAACTTCATATTTCTTTTATTCCATTAAAATTAATTAAAGAGAAAAACAAGTCTAAAAATATGACTAAATATCAAGCCAAACTTTGAAAATGACAAAAAGTCATTGGCTATGAAATTCAAGGTCGGGAGCATTAACCGAAGTGTTTAAGAACCATTAAAATCGCTAAAAAATTGCATCAATCAACGCTGAGCCAATATTTACAAAAGGAATTCATGCAGTGTCAGTTGTCGACTTATTGAAAAAAAGAGTGAATCAAATTTTAGGAGAAAACTCTGCACCTTATAGATGGAATAAAAACGGCAGCGTCAAAAGTAAAAGCTCAAATTATTATATCAAGAGGCAACGGTTTGTCACTTTGTTCTTTTTTTTACTTAAATCACAAATTTACTACGGCACAAATCCTTTCCCTTGCAAAAAATGTGAACTGATATCAAAATATATTAAAAAACCCTTTTTTTATTAACAAAATTTTTTATTATTTTTGCGTCTATTTTCTCAGTTTGTCTATTTACACTTGACAAAAGAGTGCAGCAAGAGAACTGTTAGACTGAAATTGTTTGTACCTATACTATGTTGTCAACAAAAGAGAGTATCACTGCTCTCTGTTAAGAAATAGAGCTATTGAAAAAAGATAATAAAAAGAGGAACTGCACTCGAATTATCGCACTGATCGCAGCGCTTGAGAGAGGGAAAGAAAGAGAGACCCGCTTGCTATTCACGGCGCGTCTTTAAGCCCCGAAGAATCCTTCAGCGCCAAATTGGCCCAAAACAGATAAACATGTGTGGCCCTTAATCCCTCTTGACGCGGCGAGGGCGAGATTCTTCTTGTCCAGCAGCACATCGAAGGAGCAAATCATAAAGAGCTTCTTTCGCTTTTCCTTTTCCATGCACCCTTTCGGAAACTTCTCGGAAAAAGTGCGGGCTGCGCGTGGGGCCGCGAATCGGCGGCGAACGGCCACTTGTCGGCCGCCAAACGGACAGACCCATTCGTCGGTTCCACTCGACCGCCTTTGCCATTTATTATAAATTTATTTTTTGATCGCGCGCGCCACAAAAAGCAGCGCGCGTGGTGCGGCGACTCTTTTTCCGGCCGCCGCGCTCGGAAATATTTATTAGGCGAGCGCCGGCGTCGTATATTTCTCGCGTTGCGACGTTTTAAAACGAAAATCTGCTATACACCGCGCGCCGTTTGATGTGCATGATTTCTTGGCTTCGGCTGCTTGAGCATTTTTGAAACAAAAATATTTTGAGTGAGTGCTGCTGTGATGCGTCTCTTTTCTGTCCTGCGCGTGCGGCCGACGTAAATCATGCAAATGTTTACTGTAAATGCCTTCTTTGCTATTAAATTGCGCGCTCCTGCGATGTCCACCTTCCGGGAAAAACTTGAGGTGATCAGCCGCACGACAAAATCGCCAGTCAATTTTGTGTCAACGTGCAACTAAAATTTGTGTAAGTTCTACTCTCAGAACCAAATTAACTGGATTTATTTGAAGTAATTTAGTTTTATAAAATAATTGTTATGTTTTATTTATAGACATTATTATTTTCCTTCGGGAATTTCATTGAAAGAATATCAATCATTTAGTATTTTGCAATATTAAGATTCGAACTTAAAAAACATTTTTTTCCGCAACAAAATTCTATCATTGATCTTCAAGGATTTAATATAATTATCGAAAAATATCATTTTTCTGAGAATCTATTCTCATCATCTTGATTAGGACTTTTTGATTGAAAATTTTTGAAATTGTGGGCATTATTTTGGAAAGAAAAACTTGATCTCAATGGTATGTAAGTTTCAAAATATTTATCTTATAGCAGAGAACTTAGATTTTTTTATTATTTTTTTATGAAGAAATGTTGTAGTGAAATGTTTTTTCCCAATCAAAATAGATCATTTGATATGGTTAACAGGCAAGTAAATTTGAAACATAATAAAATTTAATCCAAGAAAACCAAATCAATCATTGATATTTTAGTTGACATTTTGTCATCTTGGGGTTCAAAGGTCAAGGTGACCATTCTGAGACTGTAGAAGTCACCTCACTTTATTTATTGAAAAACTTTTTAATGCGAAGGATAATTTTTTGTTTGCTGGTTTTTTTCAATCTTTTACCGTGAGAGCGAAGCAAAATCCCACCTCTCTTTTGCAACATTTGGCTCTGTATATTGTGTTTCTTAATTAATGTCTTAATTATAATAATTTTGCTCTCGCGCAAACCTGATCCATGTACAATTCAATTCAGAGTTTGAATAATTTTTTTTATTGCTCAGCATAAAAAAAAATTGAACAAACATAACCTTTTCCTTATCTTATTTTTCTTAACCAAAACGATAAAACAAAAAATTGGAGGATGAGTCTGAGGGCGCGGTTGGGCGTCGTGCAAATTGACAGACAGCACGGCACGCACTGAATTGACTTAAAACTCGATCCGTGGCGCGCGCGGGCGATAATTAGTTACTGTCGACTGCAATAAGCGAGGGGCCAAATGTGTCGCTCTATGCTCCGATACTTTGTTGATAATGCCCACCATTTCTCATCGCGGGCTAATTGGCCACTTTGCTGATGCGTGCGGGGCGTTCCTCGCCTTTTCAGCTACCGGATATATGCAAATTTCAAGGAATACGATTAGAGAAAGGAAAAAGAGGAAACTCCTTCAACGCGTTGGTTAAGACATACATGTTCGGCGGCACAGTTTCCACAAACATCAAGGCGTATTTAATTTGTTGCAAAATATTAATCTCCTTCCAGACGAGTGTTATTTTTTATTTTTAACAATTAAAGAGCATTAAGAGTTCTGATTGCGGTAATGTTTAAAATTATAAATTACATTTTATATATTTAAGAAATATTAAAATTAATTCATCAGATTTGATATTTTTTTTAAATATTTTTACATTAATAAAATTTAGTTATTTTGCTAATAAATTTATTTGTATAAAATAAAAATATTTTACTTATATGTTTTTGTTTGTTGTCATCTTTTAACTATTGAATTGTCAGCAATATTTAAAATCTAAAACTATGTATATTGTTATTCGCCTAGCAATGATTTTATAATTGTATTTCTGTACTTTTACAAATATTCTTCGTGCGTCCTTTCCTCTTGAAATAATACATAGTTAACATTGATATACATATAAAGCTCTAAATATCTTCGTAGATAATTTGCTTTCAAATTGCAAGTTTGAAAGGTTTCCTTAACAGTGCGTTTTGCAAGCATTAATTTTTATTTATTTTTTGTCACAGGGGAGTTGCGAAAGCCGGCGAGCCGAACAATCTGATCCCCAACGTCCCTGGAATGTCCAAGTACGACCCTTCCGTGCACTTCCACTCGACGCTGCGACGGAAGCAGTTGCGTCTGGTGCGCGAAAACCCCGGCGTCCTAGTGGCCGTGTCCAAGGGGGCCAACATGGCCATCAACGAGTGCCAGTACCAGTTCAACAACCGGCGCTGGAATTGCTCCACGAAAAACTTCCTCAGGGGCAAGAATCTCTTTGGCAAAATTGTGGATCGAGGTGAGTTCAAAATTTGTATTTCTTTCAATTATAAAATTTAAATCATAATTAAATTAAGCGGGTCGCGTTTAATAATTGTAGAAAATTTGCTTTCAAAAGAAAAAAAATGACTTTGTTTTCATAGTAATAGAAATATATAAATTCAATTCAATAGGCGTGCGGAAACTTTCATTGATCGCTTTGTCTGTGCAGTCTGATTGATTTCCGTGTACTTGTCCTGATTTAGTGTTTAAAAGAGTAATGAGCGACGCAAACCTCAATTAATTGCCTGCACAAAAGACGAGAGAGAGTAAAATAAGGCCATATAGCTCCGCACAGGCTGCATTGAGTGCAGACCAAGAGAGATGCCAATGCGTGCCGGGGATAGCAATGTTTGTTGACCTGCATTAAAAATTTCGCGGCACGAGTTTTACGAAGGAAAAAAGAAATCCGATTCATTTCAGTCGCTGCAATACTGGATTCTCCACTTTGAAAACAAACATACAAATAATATGCTCTTACTTTTGTGTTGAAAAGAAAAAAAAACTATTAAAAATAAACCGCGTGCTACTTACATTCGGTGTAATTTCAAGCGAAGACAAAACCACTTTTTACACCCCGTTTTGAACGTAAACAGATGTTGCTTCTCTCGATCTCGATTGCCCGCTGTGATAAAAAGTGATATTTCGTGAGCTCTCGGTGCGTCTCGCGCAGTGCATTTTAATTCCAAATTAGGACTGGGCAATTAATCAATATACGAGGACAACGCTCTCGCCGGGTAATTTATTGCTTTGAGTTATTAAACATGTATTTGGTTGTGCCACGCACTCCATTTCCATGCCGATCACGCACTCGGTCTGAATAATCCAGCAGCTCATTCTTTTTGCCTCCACCTCTCTCACCACCAGCGAAATTCCTCTCCTCGCTGCATCACAGACTATATTTCACACTTTTCTACCTCGGAGAAAGAAAATATATAAGTTGAAATTTTAAATTGGGAAAAAAATAAGTTGTTTTGGATGAATAGTTTTTTTTTTTAAATCAGCCCATCGAGGAAAATCTGAACATAATTTCAATTGAAAGTAACATCGTGGTTGATTCCTTAAATATTTTCAGTAATTTAGCGTTTAATTAAAATAATTATTGTTTTCATTTATGTGGGTTCTCAAGTCTTTTTTGATATCTGGCGTCTTAGCATACGAGATTTTTGCTAAACACCATATTTGCTGCTCATTTTTCTTTTTTACGCTTTTTCCCTTAAGGTCTTATTATGATTCTAAGTGGAGGATTAAAAACAACAATTCAAGTGAAATCTTTAATTGTTTAAAAAAAGATCCGATTCCAAACATGAAACATGAATATATATATTGTTAGTCTGATTGATTCCTAATTATATTTTTTTTCGCTTTAAATTCAATTAACATTTTAAATTTTTTTAAACAAAAGTTAAATTTTTTAATTAATCTTGAATTACTGACCACTTTGATAATTAAAAAAGATTGAATTCCATTTCAAATGAATGTAATTTGAGATAATAATAAAAAAAAATGCCTTTCTGATCTTTTTCTAAAATAATTTTGCTTTATAAGGAGATATTATAAATTAAAATTATCAGCATATTTAATTAATTATATTCATTTTATATCGCTTTCGGAGAAGATAGAAAATATAATGTCACTCGAAGGACATCAGTGAGGAGAGCAGTTTCAAAAGGGTCTCTCTCTCCTATATAGCAATGGCAATTAGTTGAGGACGCGGCGGCCAGAGTTGTCCACACGCGCGCACGACATATAATTAGAACCGAATAAAGCTCACTTTCAAAAGGCCTCTTTGCTCTCTTTGAATGCTCATGGTCAGCGCACCGCGCCGGCCAATTGAAAGGAACCAAAGAGTATATTTTTTCATGTTTATTGAATTGCATGCAAGCGCAGCAGCACATCAAAGCTGCTCTATTTGGCCGAGCAATTAGCGAGAGGGAGGACAAAACGATCGACGACAGACCAGACCGGTTGACAAACTAAATGCAATGTTGAAAGGGCATCACAAAAGACCAGGGGGCTTTAAGAGAGGCTTTTCAGTGATTTCACTGATTTTAGTTGGTGCGCAGTTCAACTAATAGATCAAAAGATTAACAATCGAAAAAGCTCTCCAGCACATATGCGCAGCAGTTCAAATGACAAAGACACAGAATAAATAAATAGGTAAATGAGATGCTTAATTTTTGTAAGGGTATTGAAATTTTTAAACAATCGGTAAAAGTTACCAAAATTGAATGTGAAACAATTTGTCAATTTTATAAAATTACAAAATGGTACAATAAAATTTAAATTTAAGATTTCTTCATCACTCAGAAATATAACACTATTGTTTAAAATTTTGCATTAAAATTTGATTGGCGCTCTAAATATATTTAAAAAAAGAAACGAATTCTTTATTAATTGTAATTTAAATAAAGTAAATATTAAAGCTATATTTAAAGGTTCTAAAAACAAATTGATTAAAAAAAATATTTTTTAATTATTCAAAAAGGCAGCATGTTGAGACGATTAATAAAACAATTTGTGTGTAAATTTGTATTAGCTAATACCAATGGCTTAGCAGGAAGAACGATTTAAAATTGATAATTCAATTAAAAGGAATGGGAGGCGAGAGGTGCCGAACGCGCATCAACCGCACGCTTATAAAACATTACACGTGAAATAATGACCCAGAGACCGCTATAGAAGAATGCCCAGCGCAGGGCAATAATTAGTTTTGGAGTCGGCAAACTTGAAAAAAGATAGGCGGCAGGGTGGTCTCATCTTTTTCATAAAAAAGCAGCGCGCGAGAGAGAGGAGAGAAGAGAGAGAAAAAGAAGTTGTAAAGCAATATAACGCTGGTGTGTATAGTTTTGCGCCAGGAGCAGACAACATCATCATTATCATCATCTCTTGCACTTTTTCCGCGCGGCTGTTTTTTAATAGGGCTTCGCTATCACGCCAATGCCCGCGTGTCATGGGAGATCTTCGAGAGCGCGCGAGTTTTACAGCACGGCCGCCGGCACTGGATGCACGCATTTGCTGTATATTATACCACTCTGTGATGGCCACAATTACAAGCTATTAGGTGGGCCTTTTATTTTTTTGCCCGCGCCAAATATCACGAGATGGGGAATTTATTTTCGGCCGCGCGAGCGAGCCAACGAAGAAAAAACGCCGCGGCCGCCGTGATGCAGGTTGATGTGCAATAAAATTCAAATCGAAAAATACTTATATATTATTCGATAGGTGAGCGTGCCTCCGGTTAGTGTTTGTTTCTACGGACACATGCAAGCTCTGGAAATTTTGATTTTATATTCAAATAGAGTCCTGGATTGGACGTAGCAAAAATAAATCCTTGCAAAAATCCAGGTTGATCCAGGTTAGATGCAGGTTAATTTTTTGTAATAAAATTTCTATAAAGGCCGGTTCAAATTAGTGATTTCATTTATTATTTTATTCCTATTTTTGTATTATAAAATTTGTTGATCTCTTCAAACATAATTTTTACATAAATCATTTTCAAAAAATTAAATTATTAAAACAAAATTTTGTATACACATTTTTAATATATCATTTATATTTAACTTGATTTATTAAAAAAAAATCATACCAACATCATACAAAAAATAAATGTATAAAAATAAATTTATTACTTTAGAAAACAGTAAATTTTATGAATGGAAAATAAATTAAATAAATATTAAAAATATGTTAGTATAAATAATAAATGAATTTAAATAATTTAAAACGTCTCTAAAAATTAACGCAAGTTTACCAAATGCTTCCTTTGCGTAATATTCCCCTCTCACTTACCATCATCAATTATAGGAGAGTACGTAATTACTCTTAAGTCCGAGATATCGAATAATGAAGCCATAAAACAGTCGTCTCAGTATATATGAAAACGCAGGTGACGCAAGGTTATCGCACCAAGAAAAAGGAAGTGGTCCTCATTCTTGGTAAAATATTCCTGATCATCTGCTCTTCGGCTCTTCTCCTTCCCTGGTCCGTAGTGACTCCCGCGGGCACGTTTCGGGAGTTTCTTTCGAGAGGCCCGAGTGCGCCCTCGGTTGATCTTGTCGATTGCGCCAGGGATCAGAGCGAGTGTTCTGCTACTTACGCTGCTTATCGTCACTATTAGTATCCGAGATTACCGAGCACATAAAACGAGAGGGTTTTATTTAAGACAAATGGAGCTGGGAAGATGGATCAACGTAATTACTCAATGCGACCGAAAGAAAGTGCCACTTCAAGGCTAAATGGTCTTTTTATTAAAAAAAAACCTAAATATTACTAAAAACAGAATATTATTTAAGTTTAAAATTTGGTCAAAGCTAAGATTTGAATTAATCGCCATTATTTAAGTGGCAAGGGAGAAACGTTCGTGGAATGAAAAACGTGATTTTTACCATCGTTGATGAAAGAAAAAAGAAAATTAATAAAAAATATTCCAATGATGAATTAGGACCATATTGCCAGTATTATTTGCAATCAAATTTTATTTTAATCTATTATTCTCATTTTTCTCTTGAAATTTTAATTTCAAGTTGCGACGCGGATTAGAAATCTGTAATTTCCTGCTACAAGTCTTTAGAGAAAAATTAACATGATATAATAATTTATTATTTTCCTCACTTTTTTGCAATTAATAGCGTCAAAATATAAATTCAACAGAAACGCTTTGTTACATTTTTTTGTATGCCCCGAATTAAAAGTTTTTAAGTGATTTAAAATCGAGTGTGTGTGTTTTGAGGCGCGCGCAAGAGGCGCGAGAATGCGTCACACGAGAGCGGCACCTTTCTTATAATAATATTCTCACAGGCAGGCACACCATGCACAGGCATGAGGCATTCAAGCGCACGCATCTCACTTTTCTCGCTGCTTGGGTACACAGCCCACAAGTGGTGGCTATATTACACATAATACCTTGCTATTAACTCACCTTTTTTTCTTTATTTCACATTATAAAAGTCGGCGGCTCCTTTCTTGACCGGCCGAGGG